GAGTTGTCAGGTTCTGTTATTCGAGGAGCGAATAACATGGTGATATCTTGAGAAGGCGGTCAGGCAGTGAGACAGACCACTATAGTTTCTAGATTCAGGAGAGTCAGAAGGGTTATCGTAGCGGCAGAAGGGTTTGTCCTTTTTCTGGGTGGGAGTTCCTGTTTGGATTTAGGTGCTCATGGAGGGAGATAGTTGTGTGGTATGAGATCCTTTCGGTGGTGCTTTTCGGTTATTGGGTTCAATCTATGTGATGTTAAGGAGCGATTTCGAGGGCGGAATCTAATTCAAGTGGGGAGAATTGTAACATCCGGACTTTCAGGTATATTATTGTGTGACTAATCTTGAGATTTATGGAGTGAATCAGTGAGTTATGAGTCCAAGTCATTGAGTAGAGTCGAGTGTCCACGTGGGATTAATGAATGGACTCGACGAGTCAGAGAGCCAACTCGCCTAGTAGGTGCTGGGCAGAGAAACCCTAATTTCCTGGGGTTAGGGCATATATAAGGGAACTTATAGCCCCATTTGCGCCTCACCAGTCACCCTACTTCCTTGAGAGAAACCCTAATTGTCCATTTGAGCTAGAGAGTGAGAGAGAGGCTAATCTTGTGGATTTTAGTGCATTGTTGAAGGAGAAGTGGAGAGCATCAAAGCTTGGTTCAAGAGGAGGGTTTGGATCTAGAGGTTTTTCAGAGTTTTGCTTCAGTTGGAGGTAAAAAGATGCTAACTTGGTCATTTCCTTATGAAGATTTTGGTTTAGGGAGTTTCTAGGGTTTCTCCCATTCTTTTTGGTGTCATTGTGATCTTTGAGCATGATTGAGGTTGAAACCTCAGATCTGAGTTGTAGGAGGCTTTGTGAGCCCAAAGACCCGAACTTTATTGAGTTAGAGACAAGACCTTGATCATGTAACCTTTGTTAGAACTTGTATTGGCATTATGGAGCAAGTATGCCATGCATGAACGTAAAGATCGAAGCTTTACGTGACAGTCAAGCCTTGGGAGGCTAGATCTAGATTTTAGGGTAGTAGATCTGCCTTAAAACGTCTGAATGAGAAAGCAGACTGAAGGGACTCGCCGAGTCCATATCCTGACTCGACGAGTCGGTTAGGGTTTGTCCCGATGAGTTTGATCATGCGATAACTCGGCGAGTTGGGGGTCAACTCGACGAGCTGAGCTGGACTTTCTTGAGACTTCTGAGGAAAAGAGGGGACTCGACGAGTTGCATGAGTGCACTCGACGAGTCAGGTCAAACATGGACTGTTGACTTAAGTTGTTGACTTTGGGGTTCTGGTCAACATGAGTGATACATGCCATGGAGGGGTAAAATGGTCTTTTATCCACTTTAAAGAGTTAGAGAGAGAAAGAATAGCCTTCGGTTATTTGAGTCATGAAAAGAGTATTGATTAGAGATATTTACCCTATGTGTTAGGCGGTGGCTACTTCGAGATTCGAGTTTGAGGATATTTGATTGCTTGCTTGCAAGGTGAGTCTTCTCACTATACATACCTAGAGTGGTAACCAGAGCTGTGTGATAGAGTATCTTATATGTTATTTGTGTACTGTGATATACTGCATTATTTCTATGTGATTATTGCTATGTACTATTCAGAGTTTACAGAGTTAGGACTAGAGGGTCCACAGAGTTAGGACCAGAGGGTCCACAGAGTTAGGGCCGGTGGGTCCACCAGAGTTGTGGGACTGGAGGGTCCTACTGAGACATACTGACCCAAGGGTAAAATACAGTTATAGCCTCGAGTGACTAATTGTTGTATGTGGTATTTTGGGGAACTCACTAAGCTTCGTGCTTATCGTGTTATGTGTTATGTGTTTCAGGTTTCTCAGGATCACGGGAAGACACCGGCTTGATTGTACACACCAGTAAAAGAGTTATGTTTTGAGGATCCTGGATTTGAATCAAACAAATATGGAGTTGTGATTTGTTAATTAAATAAATGAGATTTTCGTGAAATGTGTTATGAGAATTATGCGATTTTTAAATGAAAATTTTATTTGAAAATTTACGGTGTTACATCAGTGAAGACCCTCCGGTCTCACAGCTCGGGTCGGACCCTCTAGTCCGGTATCTCAGTGAAGACCCTCCGGTCTCACAACTCGGGTTAGACCCTCCGGTCCTAACTCAATAAGGCACAGAAATAATATTCAACATAAATCACATAGACAAAATGCATGATATCACATAACTCAGTATAAGCACATAAGACCCTCTGGTCGGTACCTCAGATAAGACCCTCTGGTCAATAACTCAAATAAGAACATCCGGTCAATAACTTAAATAAGACCCTCCGGTCACACAATATTACCACTCAGGTAAGTATAGTGAGAAGAATCACCTCGCAGAGTAAACAATATATCCCACACTCGAACTGCTGGTCTAGACTCTGCCCCTCCATAGCCTCCAAAATCCACAGCTTGACCAAAACCCTAAAGTCAACGAAAATCAACCGTCAAAGCTGACCCAACTCGTCGGGTGCACTCATGAACTCGTCGAGTTCCTCAGTACTCAGTAATCACGAAAACCCGAGTCAACTCGCCAAGTTGCTAGCCAACTCGTCGAGTCCATGTAGAGTCCAGAAGACGGGGGAAAAACCCTAACCACTTGTCGAGTCATTCCATCAACTCTTCGAGTTTACTCTGTATACAAAAACGGGAAATCCCAACTCAACTCGTCGAGTTGGATGCCCAAATCGTCGAGTTCTTCAGCCCTTTCTCATTAAACTCATTCTAGTCGATTCCAATGCTCCAAACTCCAGATCTAACCGCCTAGGATGAAGTTACCATGTAAAGTTGCTAACTTTACGATCATGCAAGGCCTCACAAGGCTAAATCACCTAAAACTAAGCTCATGAAGGGGTTTAGGACATGAAGACGGGTCAAAGCTTCATAAAGCTTGAGGCTTTACGCCTAAAGGGCCTAGTAGTGTCCAGATCTAAGACTCATACTCTCTGGGCAAGGCTTAACTCGAGAATGGCCCTCATTTTGCACCAAAAAGCCCATAAACTCACTTAAGAAGAGATCTAAGGAATGGAAAACCAAGGTAAAGACTTTTTACCTCCCACTGGATGCCAACACAATGTAGATACTAGATCTACAAGCTTTCACTTGTTCCAAGCCTCTAAGTCCTCAAGCCATCTTCAAGGAATGCACCAAAAACACATTGTTATCCTCACACACACACTTAGGTAGCTAGGGTTACTCTCTGGACATGAAAGGTGTTAAGGGAGGCGGGGTAAAGGACTTAAGGTCCTTTAAATTAGTTGCACACCCGAGAAATTAGTGTTTCATCACACAGCCTCAACTCGTCGAGCCTATCCCTCCAACTCGACGAGTAGGCTTCCTAACCCACGCGTCCTGATCAAGTCCTACATGACGAATTGGGGCCAACCAACTCATCGAGTAGGCCCTTTAACTTGCACTAAATCCTCAAGTTCCACATCCAGGAATCGGGGTGTTATAAGTTGTGGATTTAAATGTTTATAGGTACTTCAGATGATCGGGGCAAGGTGAAGGTGTGATCGTACACATCCTCCTGCTGATTTATGTTTGAGAGATGATATTAATACTCTGATTTTTATGGTTTTGTTTTGACACAATGATTAATTACTTTATGGGTTTATGGAAATGTCTTTTGAAAAATTAAAAAATTTACTATGGTTTTTGGGACGTTACATATAGATGTTGTGTTTTCGGATGTTGAAATCCTATGCTTGTTTTTTGTGATTGATGAAGCATATGTTTTGCTTGATATCTGATATGATAATGGTTTTGATAAAACTTGTTATTAATAGCATCATTTTCAGTTTCTTTGCCTAATTTGAGTAAAATAAACTTGTTATCTGTGGTTTCACATGCACCCTATGTGTTTGATAAAATGCCTGACTGGAATCATGAAACAGGAATATTAAGCAATTAATATGTATCATCTGATGCTGAAATCATAAGTTTGAAATTTGATCTGATTTGCCTGAAATCTTATTTGAAACTGATTTGCTTGAAAATCTTATGCTGAAATCATATGCTTGAAAATATGATGAAGAAATCGTATGGTTGAAATCTGATATGATTTGCTGAAAATCTACATTTGTTTTTCTGAAGATTTGCAGGGCTTGTTGGATGAAAATGAAGTTCAAGGCATTTCATGGAAAGGTTTCAACTTCGGATTTATAAAGTTTTTTGTGTGTTCTATTACATAAGGGTGTTACATTTGTCATGATTTGTAAGTGAATCACATTGTAAACCTGTTCAGATTTACAGTGTGAACCTGCTCAGATTCACAGTGTGAATAATAATAAGTCAGATTCACAATGTGAATAAATCCATTTGTTGATTTTACAAAATTGATTTATGTGTAATGAAAACGTTAAAATATTACAGAACTACATGGAATTTTTGATGGGAAAATGACATCTTGGCCCTACGAACTTTCTAGGGTTTATCCGTGGAGTCCCTAAACTATTTTCTTGGCTTTATGAGGGAGCGAAGTCGTTTTTTTCAGGTCGATTACGTCCTTTTGACCAAAGTGAAGGGGTCATCCGGTTACCCTTTGCCATATGGACATTTGTTGACCAAATTTCCCACGTTGACTTTTAATTTTTCCTACCCTTGGACCCACATCTCTCTCTCTCAAGAACACAATCTACCAGACATCCACCATCGTCTTCTTCCTCTCAACCTTCCTCTCAAACAGTTTACCTAAACACTAACATCTAAACACCCTTTTGTTCTCTGAATGGATAAATAGCAGATCCTGAACGCATTTCAATCAGAAAATTTACAGAGATATATGCATATGAAGATAAATAACGATTAGAAAAGGTTTCAAAATGATGAAATCTTTCACATCTTTCCATTTATGCTTACTGGGCATCCATTCACTAAACCTCAATTGGTGTCATTTTAATTCATCACAGATTTTCAATTTCAAGCTTAATATCGCCCAAATCCACACACATCCACCAAATTCCATTCATACAGTTCAAATTACCCTAATAGCAACCAGATCCAAGCATGAAAAACGATTGAAATTCAATAGAACAACAAACCTTAGAACATTTATCACCACCAATATCAACATCTTCAAGAACCTTTTTACCAGCAACAATGCAATAGTGAAGACAATCATCAAGCCTTTGGTCATTCTTACGATCAATATACCCATCCACCGTAAAACCAAATCGAGTCGGAAACTTGGACGCATAGAACCAGTCCATCAACCCGATTCCGCTCTCCCCTGCCAACAACTTCTCAAAGGATCCCCTGCAGTTCCACCTCATTTACCAATATCACTATCGTTGCCACCATAAGCACCAGAATCAGTAACAATAACGTCTTCTAGAGGCTCGTTAACAGCAAAAGTATCAGTTGTAGCAGTGGCAACAATACTTGTACCAACAGATGATTCATCGAAGTCTTTAATATTGTAAGCAACAGGCCTGACAAGGCACTCATCTAAAAGAACCAATTAAAGGGCCAAAAACCCTAATTTATATATCGATGTAGAGATATAGAGAGAAATAGGAGAGAGGAAAAGATGAAGTGGTGAGAAAGTCGCAATTAAGGGCGACAGGAATGACTGGAGATAGAGAATTGCTTTGTTTTCTGTCGAGAGATCAAGAGATCGAGAGTGAAAGTGGGGTTAGGATTCGTATAAAAGAAATGGGTGACAAATGGAAAAGGGGGCAAATTAATTGACAGGTGGTTCGGACCGGAGATGGTGATCGAAGATGTTCACTAGTGAATTGAAGTTACTGTAGGGAAGAGTAGAAGGGTATTGGGTAGGGGGTGGGGTAATGGTAATCGATGACATGGCATGGCTGATGGGGAAAATCTTGCTGATGTGGCATTGAAACCTGCTAAAATAGGTGAAGGTGACTAAAAAGACAGGTTGCTCACGACTTCGTTTCCTTATAAAGCCACAAAATAAGTTAAATGGCTAAATGGGTAACCCTAGAAACATAATAGGGCGTATACGTCATTTTCCCAATTTTGATTAATATGTAAATTTCACTAAGTTAATTTGCGAATGATTAAAGAATTGAAATGGTAAGTCAAATTCACATAGTTAATGTTACAAATTGAAATATTTACAGTTTAGATTCATAGTGTGAATCTGAACTGATCGAGTTTTTTCACATTGTGAATGTTACGAATTGAAATATTTACAGTGTAGATTCACAGTGTGAATCTGCACTGATCGAGTTTTTTTTAATCGGTATTGATGTTTATTAATAGAGTACAAAATATTAATATTTTTGGTATAGTTAGTTTTTTTTTGGATAAAAATAAACTTAAATATTGAAAAAAAATAACAAAATGAAGTGGGTTTTTTCGAAAAAAAGTTTGTTTTTTATATATCAACATGGATCTCTCTAGAAAGAGGACGAAAAATCGTAAACAACGGTATATTCAGTTTGTTTTTTCGATAAAAAATATGGCCTAAAAAAATTTAAACGACAAAAAGAGGTGAGTTTTTTTTATAAGGAGATTGATTTTTTGATATAATCTGGTGTGTGTGCGTTCAATGTACAAGTATATATTTATTTTCTTGGTCGTTGATCATTATAATTTCTGACACTAACGATTGGTTCATTGGTTTGTTGAAAAATGATTTTTTTTTTCAAAAACCCACTTCATTTTCTTTGTTTGTTGAAAAATTAAAGTCTATTTTTTTGTAGAAAAAAGTAAATAAATATATCAAAGTTCATATTTTTTGATACTCTTTAAACATAGATTCATATTGATGTTAAAAAAAAATCGAAATTTCAGTTCATATTCACATTGTAAACCTGCTCAGATTCACAGTGTGAATAATAGTAAGTCAGATTCACAATGTGAATAAATCAATTTGTTTATTTTACAAAACTAATTTATGAGTAATGAAAACGTTAAATGTAACATCCCGTTTAAAATAGAATAATTAAATAATAAACCCAGAACCCCGAGAAGTAATTTTATTATTATTATTTTTATTATTATAGCCCAAAAACAAATAATAATTATCGGGATGTTAGTTTCAGGGGTTAAAGGGTAATCTCGGGATTCATTTTTTAAGGATTTTAGAAGTAAGGGGGTGTTTGGTATTATTTGGACTTTATATGTAAAGGATTTATGGAAGCAGGGGCTGCTTGGAAAATATTTCGGACTTGATTGTAAGGATTTTCAGAAGGAAGGGTTTAGATGGTAAATTAAGGATTTGAATTGAAAGAAAAGAGGGATAGAGGGACCATTTCAGTCATTATGGCTGGAAGTTTGAAGGGGCGGGTATTTAATCGTTCACCACCGCGTAACCCTAACCCTAATCCCATTACAACAGCCGCCACCCTCACCTCCTTTCCTCCCTTCTCCAGCCGCCACTCCCATTGCTGCTAGGTCCGTCACCACATCCTTGCCAACCGGTGGCCCCGATCGAAGCTAACAGCCGGTTCAGCCACGACAGCGACGAAGAATCACAAGTCACGTCGGTTAGTGGGTCGCCGGATTATAGTGTCGCTGCTGTCGAGTCGTACTCCGGTGGAGGCGCAGCCTCCATTCCCCCACTGCAACAACCTTCTTCTACGACCTCTGTTGCCGCCGTTGGAGCCATGGGACCACCGATAAGTCGTTGTGTCGTCTCACCGCCAATGGAGACGAAGATGCTGCCATCTGTCGTGTTTCAGTCGTGGGGATCAAGGCCGACAACCATGGAAAACATGGTGGTTTATGGTTTGTGATGAGTTTACGTGTGCGTGTGTGGGTTTTCGGTCGAGTAAAGAAAAGCCATGAAGAGCCACCATGGCAGCCGACCATGGTGGCAGCCTCCGAAGACGAAGTTGTTATCGCTGCTGCCCGCTTTATTTTGTCACCATCGCCGTCGTATGCCACCAGGTGGGTGGCTGGACTCCTTCCACGAATAGAAGAGAGCTTGTGTGTGGTTTTGTTTGTTGGATTTCATGAGAAAAGCCACCACCACCACCGTGAGGTGGTGGCTAGCACCTCCGACCACCACCTGCCGCCACAGTGTGGTTGTGTGTGTGTGTGTTATTTATGTGTGTGTAGCTTAGTGTGTGCTTGTGTGTGTTTGAATATGGTGTTGTAACATTGTAATCGATCGGAATAGTAAGAAAACTCTAAACCACCACCGTAAGGTGGTGGCTGCCGCTACCAGCCGCCGTGTTGGGCGGCAGTGTGCTTAGTTTGCGTGTTGACTCATTGGAAATTCTTGGACAAGATGGGCCTGACGAAACCCTAATGGGCCCAATGAAACCCTAATAGGCCCAATGAAGCCCTAATTGACCTAAAAGCCCAACCATTTGATTAATGGGCTAGTATTTGGTTTGGAAAACCCTAATGCCTTGAAACCCTAATTTTGAGAATTGATCGGGACACACACATGAATTATTTAATAAACTTAAAATATTAAATAATAATCATTGGCAAATTAACCTAAGGCAATATTGGACTTAATGGATTAAGTCCTTAATGGGTTAAGTAAGAAACACTTAACCTAAATCGTCATTTCATGTGAAAACCCTAATTTCACTTGGGCCTTGATTTGGGCCTTCCTATTGGGCCTTGGTGGTTAGACTATTGATGGGCTATCCAAGAACATGTAAATGGACCAAAATAATTGGATGAGTTTTAGGGTAAGGCCCATGTGAAGGACTTGGGCCCAATTTGGAAAATTGGGCCATAGGTGGGCCATAACTAGGCCTTTATGATTATGAGATATTGGGTCATTGGTATACCAATAGTTTGGACTAGAATTAATGGATGGGCCTTAAGGAAAAACCATGTAGAGGTCTGGGCCCAATTTGTAAAATTAGGCCATATGTTGGGCTTTGGCCCATTACTTGACTATTGGGCCTTTGGAGTGTGAGTTAGACCTTGGGCTTCGAACCCAATTATTAATTGGGTATTGTTTAATGTTGGCTGTTGAGAGAAAAACTTTGAGACACACTTGAACAAACGTTAGAACAAGTATATTGCGGAATAGTTAATCTCGAAGGATCTAAAAGCGCAACAATAATATTAATAAGTTAGAGTTAGATAGTTAGAGATTTAGTTGCGGAAAAGTAAAGAAATGGAAGTGACAACAATTGTTATATCAAGAATACACATAAGTTGATTCATAACGAGGAATGCATTCAAGCCAAGTTAATAAGTGAGATCAAACTTAGTGATTAAGTCACAAGAGACTTGCTCCGAAGAGAGATTATAATCAGTTATATTCTAGTAAGGTTTGAGAGTAAGAAGAGATGCGTAATCAGATAGAGAGATAGAAAAGATAGCTTCAGAGATATTCGATTTTGAATAAGTGAGAATGAGCTCTATTTATAGAGACTCAAAGAATTACATTTGATTTACTCTCTAAGAGTATCCATGCAAGGCATACGAGACAATAGAGAGTATTACAGAAAGATAGATAAACTAAGTAAAGTAAGCAGGACTGCGGTTGGCTAGATGACTTCGGATGAGGTTGCTGATGAGGGAGCTTGACTGTGGTGGCTTGTGGGCTGCGATAGCTGAAGTTCAAGAGGGTCACTTTTCATGATTCAACAATTCCCCCCTAAGTGACCTCTTTAACTTTTCTTCAGCTATCAAGTTTAAGAAACTTGATCAGTATCCACCAAAATTTCCTGATGTTTTCTAACCAGGTGATCCTTCTCAAAATCTCGAACTTGACTTCGGCAATTGTGTGCTTTGATCTTTCAACTGCGGTTCGACAGATTTCAAGTTGCTTCCTTGTGAGGCGATTCATGGTAGTCATAGGAATGAAGTATTTGACTTTATCGGCCTTCCTTTTGAAAATGACTACGAGTTCAGGGAAGTTAGTTGCACCTAAGGATCTTTCTTGATAACCTTCGGTAGGCATTGGTGCAGGATCAAGTGGTGGTATATCAAACTTTTTAGCAATGGTGGGGTAGATGTCTGCGTCGATTTTAGCAAAATCACATACAGTTTCCTTCAAAGACGTACTAGCCCTTTCAAGCGTTATCTTCATCTTCGGATGCTTTTCACACTTGTTTTGGAACACCTTTGCTATAAGAAAAACTTCTTCTGGGTTCATACAGGGGAAGTCAGCTTGGGTGCGGACATAGTCCTGATTCCTTCTTGTGAGCGTGTATTGAATGAAGTCAGCTTTCATGAATTCTGGGGCTTGTAGTTTTTGACTGCGGATGGTCTATCGTTAGACCAGATTTTCTCTATGGAGGACGCATGTTTGGCATAGAACGGATTCAGTCTTTCGAATTCCATAGGCAGCCTCTTGTGGTCGGGAAAGTTGCGGTCAAAGGGC